AAAGACAAGGGGCCCACGAAAAAGTGTCTTAAGGGGGTTTCTCGCCAAAAAGCGTAGCACTGTGAGATTCCACATGTCATAAAACCCCTATGTACCAAATTTAGTGAGTCTCGTACAACATGGTTTTGAGATATAAAAAATACTTCTTAGGGACAGATTTCAGGGGGCTGTAACTCCGAAAGAGGGGGCCAGTTGGCAAAAAGAAAAAATACGGGTACCCTAAATTTGTCTTGAGAGTCTATGACCAAATTTTGTTGCATGAATTTCGGGACACCTTGTATAAAAGGTATGGTTTTGACTACTTCATAGTATGGTACCTACTATTGCAGAAATGTTTTTATCGAAATCGGGAGGGTAGATTTCGCACAATTGAATTGTTAGTTAAGAAAATACAGAATTATACTTATTTTTCAATTCTCTCTCACGGTAAAACCATTTTGCGCTCCCAATTTTTATACGTACCCTTTGGAGTCTCAACTATGTCTCCATTAAAAATTTACGATTTAATCCATTTTAGCAACAATTAGAATTTTTTCAAAATTTCTTTGAAAAAATACTTATAACATTTAGAGCTGGAGCTACCGTATTTGCATATTCTTCAAATGTAATTATAGAATCAAATACAGGAAGGATTGACGAACAAATCCACTTTTGATCTTGTGGATACGATGAATCGTCGTCGAGATATGAAAGCTCAAAGTTGAAGTGAGTTTACGGCAAAACAATGGACTGTACAATAACAGTCAAAAGTGATCATAATCATGGAGTACTCAGAACCATAATTTTTATATGGCTGCTCTAAAGACGAGGTCCGAAATAAATTAATGAAAAAAACGGTCTTTTTTCACGAAATTTTTTTCGGTCTGTACCTACTATATTGCATCAACAATAATGCACATAAAAATCCGGGACTTTCATTTTGAAGAGAATCTGAACACAAAACTTTTTTTCTTTGACTATTTTCTCTAATGTCAATATCCTCCGACTTATATATGAAAGTAGGGAGAAAAATGCACCTTTCTTACGTTTTCTTGTGCTAACAATTATGCATAACTTTTTCAGTGGGCGCATATCGCAATTATTATTCTACATAATACTTCCCAACAAAAATTAGCGTTACTATATAAAACATCCATCCCGTAACAGATATAGACTGGACTACTAAACCCGCAGTTCAATAAGGATAATAATAGAACAGGTTCAGGAAGTATCAATATTGCTGGTGTGGGAGAAGTCTGTGTAAGTTCTGACATGGAAGAACATGAGACCGCAGGTCATACAACAAGAGTACACTATTTTCTGTTCGGAAGAGAAAAATAGTGTTCCAAAAGCTGTATGAGATTTAAATCAGAAAACAACTAGGTGAATCTGCATTATCTAAGTTCATTTCTAATACATGTACGTGATGCTAAAATGGGATTAATTTTATTTAATAAATGCATAAAAGTGTAATGAATTAATTATTATCATTCTAAGAACAGTAATATGTATATCAAGAATAAGTCAATATTTGAATTAAGAATAAACACCCATCTGATATTATTACTGCATCTGGAAAAATATATGTGTCATGTTTAAAATTACAAGCTTAAAGCCATGAGTGGGACTGAAAGGAGTACCCACTGTTTTTCTGTGAATGTAGTTACGCCTCCGCTTGGAGTAATGGAATAAACCATCCTGCATTTTAATTTAAAGATGGAGGAGTAGAATAACAGAGAGTCGCTCAAAAACAACGATGTAATTTGTTCACAAACAACTAAAGGCGTATTAATCAACTCAAATTCACTAATTTAAAAACCAACGGAAAAATAAATGCTAGTGGTTTACCCTGAAAGAGATTGTCCTATACAAGAAAAACATTGTCATGAAAATTCACACAAATGTTCTTAAAATCGTAACAAGAACAAATTATTTGGAAATTTTACGTTCACAAAGTGATTATTTTTACAATTGTAGAACTGAAATTTTCAAACGATATTATATGAAAGATTGATACGATTTGTTCCCCCTCACACGATTGTGCGAGTTTTCATGACAGTGTATTTTGAAGTTTCATTTTTGTGGGTCACTATATTTATAGCCCTTATAGCCCATATAGTAGATCCACCTCTAGTAATTCCAGCTACCTATTAACATGTAGGAAGATGTGTCTAATAAACTGCGCCTCAACCAATAATGTCGTTTGTAGCACATTGCGACAATAAAAATGTACTTAAAAATCATGTAAAAACAGTGGAAACAGAGTATTCCCGATTGCATATTTCCTATTAAAAAACGAAAGGAAACAGTTCAGCTTATATTGCAATGCATCTTTTTAAAAAGTTAAAAAAAATACAAATCTACACAAGTTGAACAAAAGATAGAAAAGGCAACAAGAAAATAAAATGAAGTAACTAAATTTTTAGCAGGCAAAAAAATTATTATAAATTAATAATTGATTTTTTTTTATTTTTAAAAACAGACGCAAATGTAGTAAGTTAATTTTTACTTAGTTGTCTTCTAATAGATATAAGATCGAAATCTTCATTCATGTTAAATTCAATACCTCTTTATTTAATACTGGAATAAAATTATCAAGATATTTATTTCAGTTGATTTAAAATAGATGTCGCACCAGTAAAAATTAGTTTTAAATCAAGTATTTTTCGTGAGCAACCACTTATTAAAGCTAAAATGGTTGTGAATCGGTAGATAATAATCTTGTATTGCAAAATACACGTTTACCTTTCATTGTAGCTATAAGATAAGTCTCTTCTAATTGCGAGTAGTAAATTTTGTTACAAATTTGTATATGCCTAGATGCTACTAAAAGAAAATGACTTTGTACTAAGTCTGAAGTATACAGGATGACTCACAAAAAACCAGTTGACCATATAATTTGTTATTAATTACAGATTTTTTTATTCTGTAAAAGGCAGAAATTTTTCATTCGCAGGAACTTTGGCAAGTGGTTTTCCCACATTACTCTTAAATTTTAAGCAAATCGTGTCTATAGCGTTCAAGAGTATTCAATAAATTGTTATTTAAATTAATTTTACATATTCACTTTCTATCTTCTTTTTATATTTCAATTATTACATTTATTTGTATATAAAATTTTCAGTAAATAAATTTCTAAAATTCAATAGTTTCTAAGATTTCGCGTAGTAAATTTAGAAATACTGGAAAGATGTACAAGTATAATTTTATCGAAAAAGAATTGAATGACTGATTCAGATTGATCTGTCAAATTAAATTCATCTTAAGAACTGTGATAAAAAATCTGGTATTCATTCTGGATCTTCGAGATGTAAATGATGGACAATGTACGCTTTGCATGGATGAAAATTATTTCTGGAAGGGATTCTCTAGCAGCAAAATCTCTACAACGTTCGTCTACAATCTTCTACATTTTGTAAAACTTCAGCTCTATGGTGATCACATGCAGCTGAGTTTATCCGACTTCATATTTTTCATATTAAAGCTTCGATGTTGAAAAAGATTCCTCTTCATGATTTCGAATGTTCTTCTGTATTCTGCATTTCTACGTGGCTACACACGCCATAAATTATACTGATCATACTGTTTTCAATTTGAACCATCTTAAATGTTAAAGTTTTGTTGGAAAGGCTTTTTGATATAATTTTAAATTTCATCAAAACAAAATTATTATTTAAGTATTACTTTCGAGTATCTCTAATTTTATAATTTCGAAAAATATTTATGGAACAGGATTTTCTTAAAATTTAAGTTTAATACTATTCCAATCGAATTAAAGTTTGAACTTAAAAAAATTATTAGTAAACATTTTAATGCATATTAAACTACCACAATTTAAAGTATCTAAACTCACATTTCTTAACTGTAAAAAAAGGCCGAACGCGGAAAAATCAGTTTTTAGAAAATTGCCTATTTGTTATTATTGCAAAAAGCCATGAATGTTGATGAAATTTATGGAAAAGACGGTCAATGTAAAGACCAACATGCGTGCCAAAGACCGATTCGATTGACCGTGAAATTGTTACTCCAGTTATTTGTTAATTAATTTCGTTCGTTTTTTTGCAACCAATTAATTAGTTACTAAACGTTAAGTTTTAAGTTAATATCGTAGATATGGTTGTAATTGATTCAAAGAAACGTATCGAGAAAGAAACATTTAAAAGAGTTTAGTTGCCCTTTGCAACTAACAAAGTAAGACGTGCAAAACAGCGTTATAAACAAATTGTCCCAGGATCAGACAAATGCCTCTCGGGAATTCGCTCTTTTTGCATTAAATAGAGCATATTTTTACGGTAATTTAAAAAACAAAGAGAAATCACCTCCGCCTTTTTGTTCGCAAGATAGCGTTTTTATAGCGTTAATTATTAATTAACTATTGGACGTATCGGACCGGGATTTTAGAGACAATTAAAGAAAGGGTTAAACTTTTATTTTCAAAACGTTTTACATTGATAGTTCATATAATAAACGCGTTAGCACCAGTAAACGATTGTAAACGACCTTGATTTTCATGGTCAGTAAAAAAAGTGAAAAAACACGTAATTTTGCAACTTATCTGCAATTTACCAACTTCTTTTGAGTTACTTTTTTGGTATTATCATTCTAGTTCCCCGACATAAAGTGCAATAAAATGTTTATTAATCATTTTTTAAATGTTTAGGTTTTATGATCTAATTTGACTGGAGTGTACCAGGACAACCGTTTCCCGTTACCCGTTTCTTTTTTGATTATTTTTTCACGCCTGTATTAACTTGGTGCCAATCATATTTACAAAATTGAGTGTCCACATCGTATTTATCTGAAAATGATCTATTGAAAATTTTGTATGGCCCCTAACTGAACTCATTTTTGTTATATTAAGAAAATGACCGAAATGTTTTGCACCAGAATTTTTGTTAAATCGATTTACTCGTCCAGAGGGCACCGAGACTAACTTCGGACAATAAACTAAACCGCGACAAAAGTTTACTCTCGGCCTCCGCGCCGTTACGAATAACATCGATACAAATAAAACTTCTCACCTTATTCGATCTCATCGTAACTTTTCCGCCACAGCGGGCACAACATCGGATGGAACAGTAGTTGCAAAGATGGCCGACACCATCTGCGAACTTGGTTTTGAGGCATATGTGGCAAGTTGCGTCCAGCTCCACTCCTGCCTTTTTTTGCTGTTCGTTGCGGGCACGTATCGTCTCTTCTAAAATCTGAACCTCATCAGCTTTCCTCCTGAAAAAATAAAAAAGTCCAATTTTTCATACAGTGTAGAAAACTGTAATGAAGATCTAAATTCTGCTTTTATAATAAAATTGACCGATACAAAAACTAAAACTCCCAGAAAATTTAAAATCACCGGTAGACTGACTTTACAGTGTGTGGAAAAAATATATTAATTTACTTCCTGGCAACGGAAAGGCAATATGCACATCAAATACAAGGAGTAAACAAATTTGGTAAAATGCGTCAAGAAATTGCATCGTTTTTAGAATTATACAAAATTGTACACAAGACACATATTCCGACGATCTTGTACAACCATGTTAGCAAACACAGGGGTCTAAATTTTATCATTGAAACTTCATGGTTGGTAGCGTTCATATAGCATTACAGAAAACTGTACTGACGATCAATGCATATCAAAATAAATATTGCACGCAAAATACTACATTCAGTTGAATCATGCACAAGTATCGCATTCATCGCTTCCAAATATGGATACAACACTATGTACGTGAAATTTGTCATCAATTTCTCTAAATAACAATATCAGAATTATAGAACATTTATCAACTGACATACCGTCAACTTCAGCAGCTAATTATATTACGGAAAATGTTTGAAAAACCAACACTTTAGGAAAAACAATTCAAAATTGTTTAAATTATAATTTTAAACAAAAAAAGTTTTGTTCTAATTAATCATAAAATAATTAGAAATAAATTACATACGTGATTTCTTGAAATTATTAACACATATTATCATAAACTCCTACCAATAAAAAAATTACTTTAGGTATACAGTAATTAAGTAAATATGAGTTCCTGTAAACGTAAAAAAGTGTGACCGTAGAAAAAGCACCTTATGCATAAATGCAAATTTCTCACTCATTTGAATTGCAGCACAGCACTTTTTTAAACTAGTGAGAAATTAGAACTTTTCTGCACTTGATACACAATGTACTATTTTATCTTTGATGATTAAGGAACATTTTGGCTTAGCATCTTCATGATCAAAGTTTTGCTTAGTACAAAATTGGGTACGTTTTTAAGTTCTGATTTACTTTAAGTAAAGAACTGGATATATAAATAAAATAGTGAAATTTTGAAAATAAAAAAAATAATTCGTCTAGATTATTAATTAAGACATTCATTTTTTTGTCTACCCAGTCCTAATATATCTTCTATATTTTTACTTTACTTTGAAAGGTATTGCCCAAGCTAATTCAAATTGTCGGTGTAATTCAATGCTGACGGGGCTGTAGTCCGCAGAATAGTTATTTCCTAAAGAATTATTATTAGTTACTAAAAAATTGCTTGTTTTTGAGGTTGATTTTTGCATTTTCCATGCTGGTGTCAAAAAGCCTTCATCTAATAAGAATTTTAGGAAAATTTTTGGACTTAATTTGATAGCTGAATGTTTTTTAAAATAAAGCAAAATTACAGAAGCGAATATTTAAAAATAATATACAATTAAAAGTGAATGTACCTACTCGTATGTATATACAAATAATAATTTTTTTATCAGAACAGTCGAAAATGGTTTTAATATCTAATAAAAAAGTATTATATAAACATTTTTTTAAATCATCAACGTCACTAGCAATTTCTGTAGTTGCGATTTCTTTATTGAAATAGACCAAACACCACAATGTACTTCCCTATTTTGAATTAGCGTCTGATTTGTTTGATCTGTGTGTGTAAATTTAGAATGAAGGTTAAAAAGCTCGACTTGAACTTACTTGAATGATAGATAATAAAAAGAGAACGATAGTTCCAAAATAAGTAAAAAATAGCTAAACTGCTAGAAGTTTTTAAATAGAAACGGGGTAGAGTACAAACAAGATTGTCATTAATAATAGATTGTCTAGTCTAGTCCACCCACTTGAATTCACTGCGATTATTATTTCTATTTTGAAGGTATATTAACTAATCGTAAGTGGGATGAGAAAGTGTAACTAAAATACATGGCGTTCAATTATAATCAGTTTTAAACAATAAAAAATGCTTTATTTTCGAAATACAGATATTTTTAGATTTTGAGAAATGGTTAAGAGTAGCTATAATAATATTTTATTTAACCTAATAAAAGAGGCTTCACAATGAAAAAATCAAACTTCAACCTCAGATGGTACTCAAATAAATACTGAGATTTTTCTTAACATATTTTTATCTCGTATTTTTAATCTAATGACAAAAGTTTTTCCCATATTATCCGTTCTCTTTACTTCACTGTAAAAGTCATGCAATCTGATCATTATAAGTACCATTTTCTCCTTAAAAAAAAGCTTAAATTACAATTGCAACAGTGACGTAAAAATTAGAATAAAGAAAAGGTCACTTGTCCATAACCCACGTTACAGAAAATCAGCATCAAATTATAAGTATAGCTAGGCATATAATAACATAATTTTAATTTGCATCTAAATTGACTTATGCTTAAAAAAAATATCAGCAAAATATGATTTCGAAATTAAAACAATACAACTAAAAAAACTGTACAAAAATGATAATATAATTTATTGATAAAATCTCAATATCCTTTTGTTTGAAAACTGTATTTAAAATTCTATTCACTCAAAGTGAAAAAAGCTGTAGGTATAGGTAATACAGAAATCCATATTTACAGTCAAACTATCCTAACACTATTTCTGTAAATATTTCATTGCCTAAATGAAGTTCCTATCTAAAACATTCAATGTCACAAAGAGTAAGCTCCTCAAGATTTAAAGTTATGGTGAATGCGCTAGGATTATTAATATTGTGTTTGTTTCTTAAGACTGACGTTTTATAGACAAGAAGTAACACAAGACAATAGAACAAAAAAATTGTTCTAAATTATAAAAATGTTGAAATACAAGGATTACCTTTTTCGCAGTGAAAGATCACGAGAAACATGTAGACATCCTAATATACATTTCCCGTCTTGTTGTAAAAATAATAATTATGATTAATTCATGCGTTAATAGTTTCAAAAAAGTATTCTGGGGGGTTTGATTATGTGTATAGTACTGTAAGCGATTTTCTGTATATTCAACAGAAGTGTAAAGTAATGTAATTTCAGCTTGTAAACTGTCTTATATCCTGGAGAAAACTTGTACAACTGGTATAGTGAAGAGATATTGTTTCTAAGCTTACATTTCCTAAAACACTCGTCAAAACACTGCTATAAATTCACTGAAAGTTACGCATAAAAACTCCCCCTTAATGTAAATAAATAAAAATGATATAAAGTGCATTGTACAATGTATTAGACAAATTAAGTTCTATCTAAAAATAATAACATTCGTGTGCAGTTTAAGTTATAGAAAACGTTTCAATATCGTACCACCAAAAATAATTGCTTTTTTAGAAAAATTAAAATACTTTCTTTGTTTAGTAGCTTAAAATTTTCATATCATAATACTTATATTCAAATAAAATCTGTAATACTATTTATGATTTTTTATTTTTTTGTTCTATGTGTTTAATAATCTCTATAGGTGTTAATTATCAAGAAGTACATCAACAACAATTAGTAGTTGTTTCTTCCAGATTTTCCATATACCTACATATTTTCAAATTTATTACGATTTTGAAACTGCAACTCCTTAAACAGCACAAGTAAATAAATGTATATTTTCAGGATATAACAACTTCCTGAAAAATTCTTCAGGCAATACTTAACGACCCATCAAAATATGATCCGTAGAATAAGTGGACAAACTTCCTGTTTGTCGAAACCCGTGACCTTATCAAATTATAAAACTGATTGTCAAAATCATTTTCACTAATTGTGCTGTTACGAATCGTTAACTAATTGGAAAATAATAAATCATCTGAACTAAAATTTTCCTTTAAATATGTAATAATTGCAACCCAACTTATCAGAAAAACAAAATGGAAATATACAAAAAAATTTCTTAACTGATTAATAGTATTATCAATCTACGAGAACCAATTTTATATGAATATTGAATATCTTTATCTAAATAAAAATGTGACGCGTACATAATAGTTTAAATAATAAAATAAGTAATAATAATAAGTTGTAATAACAGTGAAATCGACTATTACTTACAGAAATTGTTTATCTCCTCACTATAAATATAAGCAGACTGAACCTCTGGGCACCTTCAGAGTGTTTTATATAAATAGCATAGCTAATGTAATTAGTAGGTATATATGCGACAAACCTAGCCAATTAGATTAGATAATTAGGTACCTATTCCAATAGGTAAGCCTTATTGATAAATTCCTTTTAGATTGTTATTGTATTCTTAGTAGCCATCATTAATAACAATAAAGCAAAACAAGTATTTATAACGTTATATACGTTTTTGTTGGCATTTTTTTTTAACCCGCCATCCAGAATGATTTTACCATTTATTGTGATATATAATAGCTATGATTCTATAACTAAGAAATTTATTATTAATAACATTTACCTGTTTTGTTACCTAGAAGTACAATTCTTAGAAATATCTTACAGCTAAAATATTATCTAGATACATGATATTGGAAATAATCTTTGCGTGTTTAATCCAAATAAATCATTCTTTTCTAACTATGAAAATGTCTATTTAAACTGCGTCATTTTTTATTAAGTCATTTTACTGATTTCACTGAAATACAGTTAGCAATGTGGATTATTTGAATATTCAGTTAAACGGTTTGAACAAAAATTTTTATTTTCTGATTTCTTGTGAATATCTTTGTGAATTTTGTTACAAGGATGGTTGAATCGTATTATTTTCTTGGTAAATATCTTATAACTATAAACACTAGCTAGGTATAGGAAATGTTACACAAAATGTAAAATATAAAATGCAAATTAATCATTTGTATTTTATATTTCAGATTAATTAAGTTTTACCTAAACGTAGCTTAAATAAATAAGTAAATAAATATAGGTATGAGACATTTTTAAACCATTTTAGAATTTTTTAAATAGTGTTATTTCACGTAACGATAATCGTTTAGAGGGTTATTTCTCAATATATTTTAATTTTTCTATAGTTAAGAATCGTCTTATTTTGATTTTGTCTTATTTGATTTTTGATTTTGTCCTATTTTATTTTATCTTTGAGTTTTATCTTATTTTGATCTTTGCTTCTAAGTGATTTTAGTTGACATTACTTAAGAATTTTTTTATTTTGATTTTAAAATTAGTTGAGAATTATCTTATCTTGATTCCAGGTATCTGCAGTGAAGCTGCCGAAGACTTCAGGTGTCTGTAGTGAAGCACCCGGTTTATATTTATATACAGGGTGTTCCATTTCCAGCTTTGCATCTCCAAAACAAAATAATTTGAACACAGTAATAATTAGAGCTCGTGGTTTTCATCGGCTACTCATAGGCGTGTTCGTCGTAAGCAAATAAATAAACAGGTAGGTATAAATAAAAATAAATAAATTTGCCTACTTTATTTTCGAAAATTGTTTATATTGCAAAAATTACTCAGAATTTAATAGGTTTTCACACGGTCCTTCTTCAAATTTTCTTCTCTTTGCTGCTCCATCTATATCGCTACCGAAAAAGATTACGTTTGCATGCGCTTTAACGGTTTTTCACATGGATTAAAATTTAAGTAATTTATAAAAACTGTACAATATTTTTCACAGATCTTTGATATGTTTTAATTTTCTATATATCGGTCTATAGAATTTTAATCGGAAAAGCTTTTAGATAGCTGAAACGTGTTCTTCTTGTCTAGGCATACAGACTTGTAGAATCTGTTCAAATTTTATCATTACTGAAATAATTGAATGTGACTAAAGATATTTAGTCACATTTTTCCAACTGATTTTTTTTAATGAATAAATCTTGACCTGCTCCAAGTTCACAAGTTTTATGTACTCATACTACTTTAGATTAACCCTAATTGGTCCTCTTCGCTCAAGGACTTACTTGAGCTTTCTTAATAATATGTAACGACACGTTTTGTTTATATTAACATATTTGTACACGCGTTACTGTGAAATACATAATAAGTAATTGTAAACATTCACATGTTTCTGGAATTATACTCAGTAAAAATATTATTTCTTTGTGTGAAAAAATGATGAACACCAAAAACAAATATCTATCTAAATATTAAAACCATACAAAATGCTTCAACTATCAGTACCCTACTAAAAAGTTTGCCAAAAACCTAGCGTCATTTTTTAAATATTGGAATAATTTATTAAAAGAATGATTCCTTTACGGCAGCTTGTTTTGATAAAGAACATATTTGATAATTTTATATAATTACTTCTCATAAAAAAATTTACAGACGATTTGTAAATTTGTAAATCAGAAAAAATCTTAGGAAAATGTGAAATTGTGCTGTTATTAGTATGCTTACTATTACAGCATATAGAGATATTATTACTGAAACAAGTATTCTGATAGTAATGATAAAAATATCATAAATATTTAAACTGAATCGTTTAAATTAAAGAATGAATAAGTTTCTCTATGTAGATTTGTTCCAACATTCATATTGTTAACATGGAGAGAGAAGTGTAAATAAAATTTTAAAAAATTGACCCTTTTACTCTTTGGTGAATGCGCTGTAGTAACATTTAAATTTTAATAAGTATAATTAATTGTTGATATTAGATTTTGTGTGATGCTTTGATCAAACTTAAATTAAACAGTATACAAGATGGCAGTTTAATTGTTTCTTTAGTTATTTCGTTACAACAAAAAATTGTTTTACGTTTATTTAAATGTAAGTTTAATTTTATAGCTAAATATGAGAAATATAAAATTAATAATATACCTATTTTTTACCATTCCGTTTTAATGTGTTTTAAAAGAAATAAAACAAAGACAAATTTCAATGTTATTCAGTTATGTTGTCATCACATTCTTGAATTAAGCTAGAAATAAAGACCCTATACTTTACATATTAAAATTTTTCCCAGAGTTATAGTGAATTTAAATGGCATTAGGAATTTAAATATGTAAAAATATTATCAGAAGCAATTTTATGAAAAGAAAAAAAAGTTTTTATATTTATTATTTTTATTTATATCTACTTACTGGATAGAAACAATGACGATTATTCATTTTGTGTCAAAATTTGTAGTAAACGTCATTAGTTCATCACCACTAGTCAAATTCAACAATAGCAGCGAATTTCGATTGACAAAATTTTGTTGAAGAAAAAAATTCACATTATAGAATCCTTCGTATAGAATTATCTTGCCATGATTTTAGTAATTGTTCAGGAATATCTCCTTTTTTATATCTCATTAGAAAAAGTCTTCATTTTGTATTCCAGCGTGCTCTAATTCAACTCTAATTTTTACGTTTTTACTTATTAACAAAGTTATCGAAATAATATTTAACTTCATTTTAGTTTTAAAAAAATTTTGTACTACTATTCGAGTACGTTAGATGTGACACACTTTGGTAGGTCTACCAAAGTAACTACATAATAATAGGATCATAGATGAGAAAATTATAACACATTATATAGTTTTCTAACTGATATAATTATTATTACTCTACTCAGTTATTTTCATATGCATCGGTTATTTATAGAACTATTGTACTTGAATTTTAGCAACATGTTTGCTTTTGCTCTTTTCACCACAACTTTATTATGTTGAATTAATACATTGTTTATAATGCCCATTATGTTCCCGAGTTCGAAATGATTTCTATACTACTCTAGTTCGCATACATCAAAAAATATAAAATATAACCAAAGTAACCACATAGTAATACAAAATAATTACAAAACATTTTTAAATACGAAAATTTTCAGTCTTCTAATTCTAACCGAAACCAGTCTATTTTCACATTTTTTCTCTCATATTAATAGACATGAAATCCAATTTCTGCCTATTTCCACTCATAATTATGAAACTAACTTATTCATAATTTAAGAAGAGTTTTAATAGACGTGGAAAACTTGAAAAAGTAAAGAAGGAACAGGAGAAAAATCTTCTAAGATACCCTGAATATGCCATTACGATATGAAAGTTATGGCTAATACACCTTCACAAATCTGTTTGTTATAGTTATTTATAATACTATACTACCCGTCAGGTTCAACATTTACAAAAATAATGAGTGGATGTACCATATACGTACGGAATCTGTCGATCAGATTTTATTTCAAATTTTGAAGTCCTTATTTCGTTATCTATTAACACATAAGTGAAATTATCATACAATAATTTAAACATTTTGGAAATAGCTATTTGTTTTATTCCATTGAAAGTCAACTTCATTCTCATCGTTCTCTAATTTATCTGCCTAGTTTTAAATTTTTGTTTATTAAAGAAACATAAAGGTTCCAAAATCATATTTAATCACTTCTTTATAAAGACTTAAAATTTTTCGTACCATTATTTTTATGCATGCATTCGTAATTATTTGCATAGTACTAAAGTAACTACATATGAATGGATCATAATAAAACATTTGACAGTTTCCAAAATTTTCTATAGACCTAGTCAATCAATCAAAACAAAGAAATCATGAAACTTTTTAATTTTGACATTTTTGACATAATTTGAAAAAACTCGTTTATTCATAATGAATTCCAAAAAGTCCTGCGGAATATTTAAAAAAGATATGGAAACCTTGAGAAGGTTAGGAAATTCCTAGGAAAAGACCTGCTAAATGTCCTGAACATGTCCATTTTGATCTGCTCTCTTACAATTGCACAAATTAGTTATATTTATTTCTAACAGTAGATTATGATTGCCGGTCAGGTTCGACAAAAACAAATTAGCAGATAATATCTATTAATCAGATTTTAATTGAAAATGCTGAAAATTCAAATTTTAAAATCTTTATTTCGGTATCTGTCGAAAAATAAATCAAATTATTGCACCACACTTTAGTAACCTTTTAGAAATACATACTTGCTTTTATCCCATTGGGAGACAACTTCATTTTATACCTCATCGTTTCCAGTTCATCTGCTTGTCCTTGAAATTTTTAAAAAAGCAAGATCATATTTAATCACTTTCTTTTAGTTTTTTAGTCTTTTCATTCATTTAATTCATTTTCTGTACCTATTACTTCCACTTCTTCATTTCGAAATGGTTTTTGTACCACTTTATTCCACATATGTCAAAAAGGAAATATGGCCCATCTACCAAAGTAACTTTATAATAATAAATAGGTCGTAGGCAAAGAAATTAAAAAACATTTTTAAATTTGACATTTCCCAACATGTTCTAAATATAATCGGAATCAATTCTTAATATTAATGGATACGGACTTAAGCATTTCTTACATATCTCCACATAAATTTTAAAAACTCTACTTATAGTATATGAAAAGGTTAACAAAATCATATGGATTACTTAAAATAGAAATGAAAAACCTGGGAATGTCAGGGAATTCCTGGAGAAAAACCTGCTGGATGCCCTGAGAAACCCGTTTTGGTCTATAGCCACACAAAATGCGGTGATTAAATGCACTTATAACAACAGATTACAACTAGAAATACCTCATAATTTCTTGTTCCCGTTCTTCCTCCTGCTTCTGACGGATCATCACAGATTCGATGATGGCCCGCTCTTCGGGAGTTAGGTGAGACAGATCCGGCCCTCCGTCGTCCATCCTAGCCCTTTTCAGGCATCACACGCGGCGAGAGGACTACCCATTAGAGGATTCACCGACATACTCGTTCACTAAACAGTCCATTATGGTACTAACAGTGACCAAAACCTAACATGCGGCAGGCTGGGAAACGCCTGGGTCCTGGGAAACTGTCCTACGCCCGCTTTCCACAGGACCTTTCAGCACTCGCGTACCGCGAATCCTTTTCGTTTCGGTTTAGTAGTTATTGGGATTGTGTCGGCCGAAGTCCGGCCAAATATCACAGTTGCAATTACCCATTCATACACTTTTAATAAATAATAGGATGAGTTAAAAGACAACCAATGACAGCCCTTGTGCTCGGTTACGTCACGCGATAAAGTTATTGATTCGGCGGGTGGAGCAGGCGCCGGAACTTCTTCAGATGCGCTGTCAGCCCGCTGAAATTCGGGGAAGGCAAGGAAGAAATCTGTACGTGTCCGTAGGAGTGGGTGAGATTTGCAATCAAAGAGTTAGCGGAAGGAATCGGTGAAAATAATAATAGAGTGTTTTGAATGAGGTGTTTTATGTACAGGACTTAGACAATCAATGGGAATTCTATTTTATACAGAAAGTTGTAGCAATATTGTACAAATGATGATTTGTATTGTTCCACTGAAGCCGTTCTACTGAACTTTATTGGAGATGTAAAAGTATTTCCTTATAACTCACAGGATGTACTGTGCACCAATAGTCCAAGCATTCTGTCACGGATTAATGTTAAATTTGCAGAAATTATTACCTGGACAAAAAAAATATAACCGTATAGAAAATTAAATTTTAAATTGAGTTTCTTGTTCTTTAAACTCGATCCAATATGGCGAACATGGTTAAAAAAAATCGCAAAGTTGAAAANAGTTAGGTGAGACAGATCCGGCCCTCCGTCGTCCATCCTAGCCCTTTTCAGGCATCACACGCGGCGAGAGGACTACCCATTAGAGGATTCACCGACATACTCGTTCACTAAACAGTCCATTATGGTACTAACAGTGACCAAAACCTAACATGCGGCAGGCTGGGAAACGCCTGGGTCCTGGGAAACTGTCCTACGCCCGCTTTCCACAGGACCTTTCAGCACTCGCGTACCGCGAATCCTTTTCGTTTCGGTTTAGTAGTTATTGGGATTGTGTCGGCCGAAGTCCGGCCAAATATCACAGTTGCAATTACCCATTCATACACTTTTAATAAATAATAGGATGAGTTAAAAGACAACCAATGACAGCCCTTGTGCTCGGTTACGTCACGCGATAAAGTTATTGATTCGGCGGGTGGAGCAGGCGCCGGAACTTCTTCAGATGCGCTGTCAGCCCGCTGAAATTCGGGGAAGGCAAGGAAGAAATCTGTACGTGTCCGTAGGAGTGGGTGAGATTTGCAATCAAAGAGTTAGCGGAAGGAATCGGTGAAAATAATAATACAGTGTTTTGAATGAGGTGTTTTATGTACAGGACTTAGACAATCAATGGGAATTCTATTTTATACAGAAAGTTGTAGCAATATTGTACAAATGATGATTTGTATTGTTCCACTGAAGCCGTTCTACTGAACTTTATTGGAGATATAAAAGTATTTCCTTATAACTCACAGGATGTACTGTGCACCAAGGACGTAAAGCAATTTACAAGAACGTACAGTATTTATTGGGGATTTACTGGGGATTTATAGAGGATTTACTGAGGATTTGCCAGGGATGTAGGTACTTGACTGGGCGCACGCGCATAGAGTTAATTTCTTAGCCCATTGAAGGTAAACTGGTGAACAATAAAATATGAAATTGCGCCTATTGTGGACAAATATTGCTTATAACTTTTTCGTATATGTACTAACTTTTCAAAAATTGAATCCAAAGGTCAGAGATTTTGGATAGGTTGCACCATTTTGGATTAAAACATTATTTCAAATGGGGAAAATATCTGAATCGCACTTTGTAAACGCCCAGTCCATACACAGTATGCTTTGAAAGCAATTAATAATCACTTAATTGACATTAAAACTCTTCAAATTACTTCAGCAAAATTGTTAAAAATTAAAAAAATAATACTTTTTATACTTAAAATAACGTATAAGTAGGTAGTAAGTATGTAAGGAAATATATAAAAAGCGTCACATGAAAAGTGAAATACATATTTCAGTTGTTGCTTTGATCAAACACTGTCTTCGTGTATTCTTGTTTTGCAGATTTTTATTATACTTCTGTTCTTCATAACTTGTTATCAGTTGAAACGATTTACAATTTAGAACATATATTTTTCTAGAACAAAACATAATATTTAAATGAATTGTACTCAAGAGAATTCTACATTTTGAAATAATAGGGACTATGTTACTGTAAAGCCTCTCTCATTCACCATCACTGTGCATTTTATTTTTAAGCAGCTACGTTGTGTCGTTAAATTAAACAAATCTGTGTTAAAATGATATTTCCTGTACTTACCTAAGTCACCCAGTCTCTTCCTGCCAACCTCTTTGGGTATAACCTGCTAATAAACGGGTTTCTGTGAGAAATATACTGGGTGTTCGGAAATACTGGTACTTCACTTTGAGGGCAGATTTGTCGACTAAAAATAAGACAAAAGTTTCATATAAACATGGGTCCGCAAATCCACCCTACGGGATGTAGACGCGTTTGAAGATGACTTTAAATAAATGGGTTTTTGCCAATGACTTTTAACTGCTTTGAAGAAGAGGGATAAGTTTTGGCTGATAAGTTACTACTAAAGTGCAAAGAATTATTCGGTAGTACAAAAATATCCAGGAATTAACTGAACTTTTTTTTTGATAAAAATGTAGTTATACCACCCCCCATATTCTGTAAATGTGAAAATATGCAAAACATTCCATATTAAATTCTAAACGCGAAGTAATTTCCGATTAAATAGTATGTCTTGTAGTTTAATTTTTATCAAAAAGTAGTTTAGGAAATAAGAATTGAGCATGTTTACTCAACCATGGTATTGCCATCGTGAATCATCTGTGGAAATCACGGTGCAAAATGGGTGATAATTTTTTATGGCTCAGAAAGTTTTAATATGCGTCAGAGAATAGTTTGGTAATCGGAATTTAAAGGAATGGACAAGAAAGGGTTTAATAAAAACAAAAGAAAATTGGGAGGAGTTCAAGCAAAATTAATTTTGAAAATCTGTCGACACTGAAGGACTGAAAAATAAAAATTTTAATATTTAATATTTTTATATAGTGTAGCGATACTTTTTAATTGCACTGTGGTCTAACATTAATAGATGGCGGAAAAGATAGCGGCTACGTGGAACATCTCAGACGCAAACTTATTTAGTAACTAAAGGCACAGTATACACAGGATTACAACACGGTACAACGTACAAACCGACACAATGCGTTTCTGACTCAAGCAAATCTGCGCTAGATTGAGAAAGAACACATTCGACTAGAAGGAATAAGACGTAGCTCTCCCTTGCCGTATCCAGGGCGTATTTCTTGGCGGAGTCATCTCAAACGCAATCTTATTTGTGTCGGTTTATAAGCACAGGGCCTTCATAAACGTTTACAAGCCACGTAACCACAGAGCTTAGGCAACCAACATTGTAGGGCTGGCTGGCACTGGTAAAGAAAAGTTCCTAAATATTAGTGTTAGTGTTAGTGTAGCGAGAGGTACAGCCTCAAGTGATGTTGGAAGATTTTCGTTCAAAAATCTAAGATACTCGGCCGCTCCAAGGCTGTGTGGAAGAATAAAAAGACCTACTAGAGTATTTCCTACAATTCCCATCCAAACGTTTAAACTGAAATTATGTTGACGTCTTGAAACAAATATTTCATGAGTATTTTCTTCCGACCATGAATGAACATTATGAAGGTTTACTGCACCTACTCTAGGAAAATTTGCTTCATCGGTGAAAAGTATATTAATTAGGAAATTTAAGTCATGCCTGGAAATATTAATGTACCATTGACAAAAATACTGTATACCTTATTTAAACATGATGTTATAAAAAATGTAAGTAGTTCTAGAAACATAATTTTTAGTGGCTGTTTACAACTGACCGCGATATAAAGGTCAATTGCCCTAATGGGTGTATCTTACCTTTTATAGAAATTAAATAAATTAAAACTTCTGAAATTTCAAAAATATATGTTTTGTATTATATGTATACAAAATCTAAAGCAATTTGTCTCTGCGAGCAAATACAACCTTTATATGCTTCTTGGACTAACTTTCAGTGAATCATATTTATCAATAAATATTTAATACTAGTTTTGACTGAAAAATAAATTCTACACTGTAAAAAAATCGGTGTGAGTGAAAGCATTAAAGGTCCGGAGTGAATGAATTAAGTGAAATTATTGAGTACATTTTCACTCAATATTGGCCATTTCGATCATTTTACTCATTTGTGATTATATTTAAACTAAAAGTCAGAGTAAATGTCCTCATTACTGAGTGAGTTTAAATGTACATTAATTTCGAGTAATTTGAATGGCACCGTGAAGATGGCACCACTCACATATTGCTTCTGTAATGTCGACCACAGATGATAGGGGCCTGTTAGATGCTCCAGAAAAGTATTATCGCCAGGAGAACAGGCCTTAGCCGGCGGCGGTGGGTCTCAGCCAGGACAGGAGGAGGCCCCGCGAAGTGAATTAATTTCAACACTGTATTTCCTAATTCATTATTATGATTTATGATTTATTTTTGCAGACAATATTTGGTTAATTAAAAACCAAGCACAAAATGACTCAGTCTCAATAATAGTTAAATTTAAACCATATCTATTAGTTTTATATACTCAGAATAGAGTCAAAAGTCGCTCAATTGATAGTTAGAAGTAAAACTCATTTCTGAAGCAACAGTTTCACTCAGTTCTACTCATACTAATAGAGTGAAAATTTCACTCAATCGAGTATGGACAGAAATTGATACATTATTGAGTAAAATTGAGTGATTTTTTTACAGTGTACATATGATGTTTCTTTAATTAACTTGAATAAGTTACTAAAGTTAATGGGCATAT